CTCTAAGAAGAAGCAACTTGGTTTGAAACTCTGAAGGCTATGATAAATCACTATAAGAAGTTATAGGGAGCTTTATAGAGGCTCTAAAAATATATTGGGTTTTCAAAACAAAAACAATAAAAGATAATAATTATTTAGTTATATGTATTATTGCTGAATTTGCTGAAACCCAAGGTCCCTTTATATAAGAGTATAAAGAAACAAAGGCTAAAGGTTGAAGACTTTTTTAGGAGGTGAGTTTTGGCAAGCTTATTAAAGTAGTCCAATCACACTTAAATGAACTTAAATACACTGAAAATATTGTATTTATAATGTTTTTAATTATGCCTTTTCCTAAGGAGGACATATCAAACAGCACTGGTGAGACAAGCACACTCACAATGTCCTCTAAAGATATTTAGGTTATCTTTTTTTCTCTTGATAAGCATTGTCTGATTATTCACTATTATATATTACTATTGCTTGGTTAAAATTTGGTTGTGAACAGGAACTCTTGACCTTAAGTTACTATTATCACAATCTGAATTAGTGTATTTAAGTCTTAGGTTTAGCTGTATTTCAGTTTTAGTTGTATTCAGAAGTTTTCTCTTCAACTGTTCAAAAGTGAACATGCACAAGTAAACAGCACTCGCATGATGAAAATCTGAATTTCTATTTGGTATTTCTGGGGCACCATTTGCAGTGGATTAGCTCATGTACTAAAGTATTTTGTCACAGCAGGTTGCATGTGATAATTTAGAGTTTTAAAATACACCTTGGGTACTCTTGTAGTCGTTGTACAGTCCATTTGAAAACTTCAAGTAGGATCCATGAGATTCATATTCCGTTTGCCTACAAAGTTCAAATCATTTGCTATTATCCTCTGTTTGACTAAGATGCTTAAACACTAGCAATCTAGGAGACCAGGCAGCTGGACTGCAGTCCTGGCGCACAAAATGACTTCCCATTAATAGGTTGGGGAGCATCAGGAGAGCCCACCCTGAGCAGAGATTTCCACATGGATATGGCCTATAGCACAAGGGTACCTGCCCTCAGCCATCTGCACTGATTTGACAAATGATTCTATATCAAAGGCCTCTGCACTGATTTGGGTCGTAATTGATTGGAGGCGAGGCCCTCAAATCCCTGATTGGTTTAGCTGGATGTGGGGAGGGAGATACGTGGCGAGTGAGAGGAAAGGACAGCCAGCATGTGAGAGAGTACAGTGCAGGGGATCTGGGAAATATACTAACAGAAGTGAGCCTCATTTGCACTTTGAGAGAATTCAGAATGAAATTTGTGTCAAACAATATGCATGGTACATATTTTACAGAGCAACCCATGTTGTCTCTGTGCTTGTGTTTCTTTTTCCAATGTGACTGTGGGGATATCCAATTTGTTACTGTGTCCATAAAGATCGGATTTCACCATACAAAAAGAAGAATTTGGTTAGAAATGGAATATTATTGATTTGTTCCACACGGAGGTGTGGTCTGATGCAGATATATGAGAATTGTAAGTTGGCTGAAAGGAAAGCATCGATTATATATTTCTTCATCATTTTACCCTGAATATTTGATACCATTAACTGCTGTTACGGAAATTATGTGACAAGTGAAATATCATCAGAGAGGATAGCCATTGTTCACTTAACATCCTGAAAGTTACCTAAACCTCATTACCGATTAAATGGATTAAGGGGATGTCAAATACTTTTTTATCCTTTTTTTTTTTCAGTTAGATTTCCAAAGAACATGAATTTCTTTCTTGATATGCCAGGTATGATCTTGAAAAGTGTATTTTTTTAATAATATTGTAGATAATTTTCCATTCTGTCATTGATACTATGGTGCGTAGAAGATGTCCTGCAGATGAGCCAGGATACTGTGGAGCCCTCTTAATACAATTGTGACTGTGATGTTATGTATATAGAGGCCTACTCCCTTCATTACATGGCAGGCTGGCTGCACCACATACCTTTTGCCATTTGACACAGACATGCGGTGCTTGCTAGTGACAGATGCTGCACAGCACTGGTCCCAGAGGTCACAGATGACCTTTTGGATTGTCTTTTTTTCAGTCACAAAGCATTATTTATTTGACGATGGCCACCAATGCAACCCCAGGCACCTTGATGGAGCCGTGGGTTGTTGCTGCTTGTCTTCTGAGATTACATTTACCTCAAATGAATTGGGGTTGAGTGACTGACTGTGTTTGCCCGTGCACTTGCATGTGCGAGGATGTGGACGTACATCTTTAGGAAGATACATTACTTATCCATAGTCTGCTTGACGCAAATAACAAAGCTTAATTGCTGCATGACAGGCCTTTTGTTTGGATGCCTGAGGGATTTCCTTTTATTATACAGAGTGAATCACCATTGAAATGTGTTTATTCGGTGGCCTTTCCTTGGCTTTAAAAAGCTCCTGCACACTGTATGTCTTAAGAATTTTATCTGTAACACTCAGCGCATTTACATTCATGTCTTTGTCAAACTTCACAGAATAAAGTCTAACCCTTCAAGAAGCAAGGTGTTTCTCTAGCATGCTCATCACTCAACTTTTACATTGTTAGGTGACATTTCACAAGAGTGTTTGTCTTTTGTGGAAATAAAAACTGTGAAACGCGAGGAAAACAAAACTGTGAAATGGCATCCCGGAGTCACACGGCTTTAGTTTACCGTAGCTATTTCAGAGTTGGCAAGAACAAGGTGCAGTGCAGGCCCCATATTGTCAGAGGTGCTTGATCCCCACCCCCATCCCTTGTCCTCTCCATCTGTCACCTATTTAAATTGTGGTGTTCACAAAGACATACACATACTTTGGCATGCTTACACACACATTATTATACACAGCCACCTCGGATACCAAGAACCGTATTATAATGAACTACTTGTATGTTATAGCTTGTCAGACGCACATGACTTTATGTACAGAACCAAGCATGTGCATCCCTATTCACATTTTATTACTACCCTGTTGTGCTATAATGAGGAGTTGTTATTCACGCTGTCGATTCACAGGAAAACCTTGTGAAAACCCTTGTGAAACAATTTTCTATAGCCTGAAGCCTCATGTCAGAAATATGATCTTACCCTCACCTCTTACCCCGACTGCCGTAGTGTGATGATGCTCTGAGGTGAGCCCACACATCAATTATTCACATAATGCAAAATTTTTACTCTTTATCTTCTCGCCAGCTAGGGGAGACAATTTAAGAAAATAAGAAGAGAAAATAAATGATGAGCAGAGGGAAAACGCAGCAAGACACTTGGTGGGTGAATAAGAGAGTTTGCGGTGGACAGACAATGCTCTTGATGTGAGTTATAATTGTAGTTTAACAATGTGTGGACCTCTGGGATATTCACTATGCAATATATGGCCTTTAGACTAGAATCACTATGGAAACCAAAGGCCCTGAACGACCTGCAGTGCCCACCCACTTGGACAGCCGTTAATCATCTTCGCTCAGATCCTGGCACTGCAGAATTTGGCCAATGTGTCAAGAAGCAATTATATATACTTAGTGCTCGGGCACCCGATCTCCTCCCTCTCCTCGCTCTCTCACTCTCACATTCTTAATATAATCACAGAGTAGTCAGTTTAAAAGCCCTCTGTTCATTTCGCTATCTATCTGGGGGATGCACACAATGCAGATGAAGAGAAGTTTAAAAAGCCAGTGGATATTCTATTCTGAGAGCCATTATAATCAGAATATTCTTTACATATAAATCATATCCAGCCATTTACTCATTTTACCAGCCTCCTGAACTGACTGACATACTAAATTACCCCAGCTGGCCCAATGCATTCGCTGCACATATTGGGCTGGTGTGGATCATGGAGACTAATGTGAGCTGACTAGAGGGAGATTATGTTCAGCTGCTAACAGCTAAAACGTGAATAACACTATCCGCAAACCCACAGTGTTCCCCCATTACATCAGCCCTGATCAGCTGGGTAAAAATGGAAAGAGTGAAAGAGAGAGAAGTATGGGGTCCAGAGGAAACAAGACGTAGACATAGTATGTGGAGCAATGGAAAGTGATGTCTTCTTACATTAAAACATCTGTAACACCCCATTAAAGCTACGGCACGCTGTAATTTCTCACCAAAAGCAACCCAAATTTGAAAAGTTCAGGCCTTACATGGATGTGCGTTCTTATTCTGCAATGATAGATATGCAGATAATTTACTTTTTCCAGTGACAGAGCAGAGAAACGGGTATCATATTTTGTTATTATTTACTGTCCGACCACTGTCTGCATATTTTAATGCCACCAAAGTCATTTCAGACAGCTAGCTGTGCATTAGGGATGTAGAGCGGTGTTAGGCTTTGAACAGTTGATGACAGCCTGTCAGACAGCTTCCATCTATTGGGCTCCTTTTACCAAGGTCCACTCTTGCAATAAGCCACTCTCAGCCATAACGCCCATTCATCCAGAAAAGGACACAGGCATTTTTGACACGTTTGGTGCTAAGTGAACTGAAATTGCGCGAATTTCACTGCATGGCACATTATCACATTTGCAAGAGTCACGCATCAGGAGTAGAGGTTGAAGGGGACAGTGACTTCAGTCAGTGTGTGCTGACGAGTTGAGACCATCACAGTGAAGTGATGACTTTGACTGTGCATGTACAAGACTAATTAGCATTGAATAAATTTGCCCTTCTCGCTTCATGTTAAATAAATCTCGAACGATTAGCAGAACGCACAGAGGAAGAACAGCAAACAGATGAAACTGTTGTCTTGGAAATGAAAATAGTTTCTTTAAGAACCCATGATAAACAAATTCATTTTGCACACCATTTGGCAAAGAGTCTTGCAATGATATGGTGAATGGAACATCAGATATGTGAGAAGATGAAAAGGGTCTTGACATATTATGCAGCTAATTTACAAATGCAAAATTGCAAATAGACACAGAATCACAGCTTAATAAGAACATCGCATTCTTAAAATATCTGTAATTATTTCATATAATGCTGTTTATTCCTTGCCTGAAAGCAAACTGGAGCTTACCTTATGAGGACAAATGGGAGGCGGTGAGTTAAAAGACTTCTCTGGTGTCTGGCTCTGGTTCTAGTAGAAAAAAAAACATTATCAGGGACATGTTTCATTGGAGGCATATCCTTGCATAAAGTTTCATCTTATTTACTATTCCTTGCTATTAGTATTTTTGCTGTGTTTTTAAGTGGGGGTTAACTCCCACTCTTTACTACCCACTAAGCCAAGATCACAACATTTGTCAAGCGTCACATTTTAAATCTCTATCTTGACAGCGTCGTCTTATCTGACATAACGTGAGCGGAGTGATTTTTTTTTTGTTATTTGTTTTTGTGTTCCCTTATTTCTATCCCTGCTCAAAGATTATAAATCCTTCTTTGTCAGAAGATTTCGCTGAACATATGTTTGGATTTTTCGTACACGCCCGACTGCATTTTTTGAGGTTAAATGATTATCACATTGTTAATACACCAATACATCACTCAGATACAAGAAAACACCATTAAAAGCAGACACAAGGTAAGTCAACAAGCCAACAACAGATGGTCCTGCTGCTTGTGATTATGCAAAGATCCAAAGTATTTGCATACTCACAATGCCATCATAAAAAAAAAAGAAAAAACAATAAGCCATCTTGAGCTGACCTCAGTTAGAAATGAAAAAAAAAAAGAGCAATGGGTGAAACAGAACCAGCAGGGAAGCAGAGGGGCTCGGAAAACTTCTTTTGGAATCTACCGAGGGCTTGCCTCATGGGAAGGCCCTGTTGATTTTCAAGCAGGTGCTTTCAGTTATGTCCTCATTTCCAATTATGTGCCTGTGGTACGTCTGATGCTCTGTGACACTATTAATGGCTGCCTTATGGTTTCTCTAGGACAGATGAGACACTGGACTCTCCAGACTCTTAACATCTATATTTCATCGCAACGTAGAAGGAGAACACCTCTCTGGACAAGGCAACTAAGAGAGGGGAGAAAAAAAAATCAGCCAGGCATTCACTGTAGCGTAAACACCAGGTCATGAAATATAAATGAATAAATGGGCCTTGCTGGGACGATGGAATTAGTAGACAAAATTTTCCCTACAGATTGAGTAGGCAATATAACCATGATATCTTAATTGATGTGACAAATAAACATGAATTATTTTCTTTGTGGGTAGGAGCAGGAAATGGAGTTTCCTTCTGCATGTTCCCAGTGGGGGAAAATGAATGACCTTGATTCTGAACACTGCCTCCAAAATTGTGAATATTAGATTCTACAGGATATTGTAGAGTTAGGAGGAGAGTGACAAAAACGAAAAAAAGAGAGTCCAATCAATTATAATGTGAACCACAGTGTTTGCAATGTACAGATAACTCGGCACTCCATCAATACTGGCGGTTAATCAAGGCATGACTTGCAAAAACTTCACACAAAGCATTCAGAAATATATTCCCTTTATCACCAATGCCAAATATGCTAAAACTATTGAACACACAATGTGATGTTTATGCAAAAGCATTTAGTTGTTTATTTGTTTTGTTTTGTTGAATTTGTACAAAACAATATGTGATCCAAATTAACAACTACTTTAATTTGGAAGTACAAATACTGTTAAAGAAGAGACATTATCAAATGCAAAAAAGTAAAAAAAACAATAAAGCTAACCACCACTTTTCACTCATGCCATTTCTAATAAATTCCTAGTTTAACTCACTCGTTGAATCTATATAATAATCATTAGTGTTTCATCAGCGTGGGAACTGTACAGCTTTTCTGACAAACAGCTCATAGCTCATCTCCGCACAGTTACAGGAGAGACAATAGAGTAGAGAGGTGATAAGGGAAAACATATGGAAGCAAAAACGACTGTCATTTTTCAACTCACCTTTGCCTGGGACATTTTGCATCTGATAATGAAGACTATTGACAATGCTTGCAACAGAGGGATTTGGATTACGCCACATATTGATGTTTTTGGTCTTCTCACCATGCATGGGCTGGTCATTGTAATAGGATGAGGCCCAGAGAGAGCGCATGCTACACATATATATATTACAGTTTCTGAAGAAAATATAAGACAATTTTATCTTTCTGACTTCTTGGAAATGTTTTGATAAAATCTAAGAATGAGCTCTATTTCTATCTCGCTGTCTTTACTCTCATCATATAAATTAGGAGCCTCACTCAGCAGCTCACAAACTGTGTAAGTCTTAATTGTGTACTTTAATAAATGTCGCACAGTTTTCCCGCTAAAAGTCTGCATAAAAGACAAATGAAAACAAAAACATGCAAAATATTTAAACTTGTTATTTAAAAGTTTTTTTTTGTTTTTGCCATAAATATATGCTCTTTTTTTTAAATTTCACTTTACCAACATGTGCGTAAAAAGCTGCATGGGACAGAGAGTTGTTCTATGGTTCTTGAAAAATGAGACTGACTGCCTTCTGAAAGTCACTGGAGTATTTCTTTTAAAGATATTCCATGTGGGAATCTGCCAAAAAATGTACATTGTGTGCTACTCCTTTCACAGTCCAACACAATCTTGGTCTAAGGTTATAGTAATGACAGGGCCAGCTGAGGACCTGTGAGTTGTCTGCTTCTCTGTTGAAAGTTTCCCACATGGAATCTTAAATTTCTTCAGAACAAGCATACTTTGAAGAGTTTCAGATGAAAGTTTTCTTGATTTTTACTTTGTCTTTTTTTTTTTTAAAAAAAACTACAGAACTGAAAAAGGTGAATGTTAAAAATGGGCTTTTATGTGCCTGTTAAGATATAATAATAAAAATCTGAAATCTTTTGTCATAAAAAACTTCATAAATAACTATTTGTCATTTATATGTTTTCTGTCTCTATTAATCTTGTGTGATATTAGAAAAAATATTTAAGAGAAGATGTGCATCACTGAACACAAGTAAAGCTTCAGTAAAACTTTTCAGGTGTGAGGTGATAAAAATGTTACGTCTTCTCTTCGGCTCCGGGATCATGCTCTTGCAAAAAAAAAAAAAAAAGTTTTGATATACAACTTTCTGAGAAAATGGGTAAGTTTTTAAAAAATATATATGTTTTTTTTTTAATTTATTTTGCATTGTAAGGTATAAAAAAACTCCACTCAGCAGCCATATACACCTCAACAAGTCAACGTTTCTCAGATTTGAGGTGAGCAACTGAAGCAACTACAGCTAAGAGTGCAGGATACTGTTGATTGACATATGACCTGGTAGTAAATGCATTAGAGGGTTACCTAGGCAACCAGAGTCTGCACCTACATTAACTTCAAAGTGATATGGATGAGTGAATCGCTCTCTGTGTGGATGTCACTTCAGGTTTTAAAAAAGCTTTTCTACTCTCAGCTTTGCTGCTGTATAATATATAGATTAGAAATAGTCCCAGATTCTTTCATGATAGTGTTACAATAGACTCTCTTATAATGTTCTTGGCTTTAACTTTCATCTAGTGGATGAACTGTGTTTAATGACAATGATTTTCAGAAATGTGTCTGAGCCTGTGCAATGATTTTCACTACAGAGCAACATCTGTTTTAAAGCAGTTGTGCCTGATAACTCACCGATCACATCTATTCAATATGTGTTTTTTGCCTGATCCTTTGTGCACAGAGTTGTCTAATTCTTTGGACGCCTTTACTTTAAGTCCTGAACAAAATCTCAAATTTCTTTACAATGTTTTGTGGACAAGTGTTTTTTGCAAGTTGTGAAAACCTTCAGGCTCTATAGGGATGGTGCTGCTTTTACACCCAACATGAAATATTGCAGTTCAAGAATTGCATAGGTTTTTTTAAAAGTGTAATATATCATATGTAAATTCACAATGAATTAAAATAAATAAATAATAAATACAATTTGGTATGTTGTTGTTCTGCCATTTGATTATATAGCATATTTTTTGTAAACCATCCAATTTTTTAAACATATGTATAAAAGAATCTTCAGGAAAATGAACTAGCCAGAAACTCAACTTGACTGGGAGAAGTCGTAGCCCAAACCCTGTGTAGCTTGCACTCTGTTTCTGTGTGCCAGATGTAGTATAAGGCAGTCTAGTCACATTCACCGAGCCAACTTCCCCAACAAGTATAGTGAAAAAAAACAAGAGCACTATTCAGTGCTGAGTGGACACTGACTTGTGGCACATTTGTGTTTCTAGTCCCATCAACTCAGCCTCCATTTTCTCCCCACACAAGGAGGCTTTATACTATTTTCTTCCCCAGCTCCCACAAAAGTACTGTGCCACATTTAGTAAACTGTATTTCTACCAGCTAGTTACTGCTTCTTCAGCTCTGTTTGTCACCCCAACATTGTTTCAGCCCTCCTACCCCAATAAAATATAGTTCTCTCGCTAGGATTAAAGGAGCATTGTAGTTCAAGGATTATCAAATGCCTTTGATCATGTGACTGCCATGTTTTTGATCTGCAGCACATACCACCAAATATATTCTCTTTTTCTTTCCTTCTGTCTCTTTGCCTCTCCACGGATTTCCCGTTGCTTGCCAGTTCTCTGCAAAGTGAGAATAGTTCTAGACAGGCAGTGAAAGGAGAAAATGTAACAAGTATAAAACACATATTTGTAATATTGTGATGACAGAGATCATGCTTCCACTGCTTATCAGTCCACAGACACATATGCCATAAAGATGTCCAGTGCTGAAGTTAACACTTGAAACTATGACACGTTGGAATATATATCTCGTTTTAGCGAGTCATCTGTGGTTTTCCTTAGTGCACATTTATTGTCTCCCGCCACTTTTAAGGCAGTGACACAGATGTTTGGAGTATAAAGAAATCGACCACAGATTATTTGCCTTTGAAACATGAAGTAAGGTTTCAATGCCTTTATCACACAGTGCAACCCCAGCTGCACCCTGGTGATGTTCATTAGCAATTTCTGAGCCTTGGGCTATTTTGCAGTGTTTCAATCCCTGCATTATTATTTAGTGGCTGACTTGGACATGCAATCAAAAGGACACGCAATATGTGCAACACTTGTATCTCAAAGCAATGGCTGTTCCATGATGCCCAGACTAAAAACGTATAATTGTGAGCCAGGGGATTCATGGCTGCAATTTAGTCAACATACCTCAAA